TTCCGAACCTGGACGAAGTTGCACGTGATGAAGGTGAGTCTCCGAGAAATGTGCTTGAATGGGTCGTCCCATTTATGGATGCAAACGAAATTGAACGTTACGAGGATGAGGGGCAGGGTCGCGTTCCATCGCCCGAATAATTGTCATCAGCTCGGATGATGACGGTGGGGAAGAAGGTTCAAGTGTTAGCTCTGAGTGAAAAGTCCGGCTTTGTTGCGTGTGTGGGTTTCTACGTATGTATGTATAGTATTTTTTTGTAAGGGATGGATTTTGTGACGCTTAACCAATTCTGTAGCATGTAGAAAACTCTCGTTGGCAAGTTATGTATTTTTTGTATTTTGTTAAGCGAAGCGTCGAACAACTGTCAAGAATGGCAAGCACCATTTGTTGGGATTTACTGGGAAATTTTCTATGTATGTAGTATGCATATTCATATAACACCTATTTTGGGTAAACGAACACAACCTCATGTGTACATTCAACGTAGTTTGTGAATTTTGCGGACAGTGTTATGCGCTAAAAATGATGTGTTCGTAATATGCATTTCAAAGGAAACTTGTATAATGATTGAACTTTTCATATTCTGTATATTCAATTTACATGTGTCAACAATGGAAACAATGTTATACAGAACAAAATTGTATTTTGGTTCGAGGTTGTTATGCAGTACGTTGTACCTATTTGCGTACCGTAAATGTTAACATAACAAAGAGTAATGTTTATGCGTAAGAGAATGAAAACAGTAATACAATATTTACATTGTCATATACAAACGACATCGGGGGAACACTTCACTTACAACTTCAATCACTCAAGTACAAAATGCTACTTACATCGGACGTGGTACAGTGTGGTTCAAACATGTGGTCTGGTTATGACCAAATCCAGCGCAGCGAGTGCATTTCCTGAGCCGTGTGGTACACTTGTGTCTGGATCGCTTACGTTGTGTGGGTGGTCTACCTGGAGGACGACGCACACTGGGGGTCATAATAGGAGTACCTGTAATTTCGGCTAGAACATTCCAATCTACTTCATGCAAAATAGGATATATAGCTTTTCCATATGCACGCTTCCAGTACTCGGATGTGTAATACGGTGAGTAGAGATCGTACAATGACTTACCTCTCAAGTAAGTAGCACGGGTTGAGTGAACCCATGGCATACGATTCAGTTGGAACTCACGATAAGTGCACATGTTTTCGACGAAGTCTAAGATGTCCGTGTCGTTGGATATTCCAACTTGTGTTAAGTTATTTATCAAGCTATGCGCTCGCAGCCTAGTACCTGCTTCGAACGTCGTCCGTAACTCATTCTCCATCATTGGTGACAGAACGGTATTGCATGCGGTAGTACTTGCTCGACGTTCATAAAATCACTTCTGCATAGTATGCCGAATGTGTTCTACTAAGCACGTGATCGGTAACGAACGGGCATGTCTTAACATTAAGTTCAAAGATTTTGCGTTGTTGTTGGTCAAAATATTGTACCGTTGGCCAACAAATAGTGCCCGTGACCAAAATGGGAAACCTGCTCTCTCCAAGTACCCATACGCTCTTGCATTAACCCTACGAAACTGTCCCATAAGTCTTTCAAACTCTTCAGTCCGGTAAGTTCTTGTGGCTCTTTTGAATAGAAATATTGAACTTGCGTTGTTGTACCGCTCGATTAAATTTTTTTCCATATGCCAGACATAACACCCGTGGTGAGCTCGAGGAAATAGGTGGGCAATGGCATTTTCAATACTATTTTTCCTGTCCGAAACAAACACCAATTCGTCCGAGTCACCTATAAGATCTTTCAAATTTAATAAAAATCACATCCACGATCTATTCGTTTCGGCATCAACGATCCCCCACGGGTCGTCAAAAAAAATAACGGGCCTCAGGTAGTGCAGGTGACCCCGAATGCTTGCACCGAAAGCTAGGAAAAGGTAGTGAAACCTGTTACGAGAATCTACTTCGATGTGTGTTACTATCCTCGGGTTACTCTCTCCTAGGACGTGACAGTAGGAAGAAAGTTTTTGAAAGCTATCATCCGGTGTACCATGTAGCATATGTAAAGCAGCGACATTTCCCCTACGTGCTTGATGGTAACTAATTTTCACACCAAACTCACGTTCTATGTTACGAGCAATAGCGGTAGGATCATACGATTCGTACATATTATCCAATTTCCCCATAATCTGCTCAACAATTACCGAACTAGTGGTATGTCGATGTGCATTACGGCGATAATCTATGGAACATGTGTGCACATTGTTGAATTTGCGGATTATGAAGATGGCGGACTGCTTGACACTCAAAGCACGTAACATCCACTTACAATTATCGTCCGCGCATACAACGGTTAACATTTTTAGGCTTGCCCCATTAACCTAAAATTGAAACTTCTCTCGCAAAGCAAGTAGACAAATTCTCGAGTACAACTCTTTCTTGGTAAAAAATATTTGCCTTTCGGTAAGATCTGGGGTATTCACAGTGGAAATTCAGTCGCATGTATCCGGACTTTTGGAATGTGATAATAGGTCTTCGTCAATGTCAGCAATATTACCAGTATTTGTACCATGTAAGGGATCGTCGAACATCTCATCTAATGGTGCAGTCCCAACATCGAAAATTAGAGTATCCGTTGTATTATTGTTTGGGACACTGTACTGATGATTGAGCTCGTCGTCCTGTACAGCTTGGTGATCTTCCGCTACGGCAAACAATTGTTGGTTGTAATTTGTATCCATCTCCATTTCAACACTTGGCAAGTCGGTTTCCAAAGTCGTAATGCAGAGGGCAGTTTCCTTATGAACTGATATGTACCAATTTACGTCTTCATCTTCGAGTATTTCGATCGGCAGTATATTCATGTTCAGAACTTTGAACTTCAATTCCATTTTTGTGCGCGGATCGAAAACACCAAGTCTCTCCTTCAACCGTAATAATAGCCCCGGTAGTGTGATACTGTTCGGCACTAAAATGGAATTGGTTCTGTCCCCAGTCCACTTCCATTCGTCGTTCACGTAAACAAACTTTCCCTCGTGCGGCCGGCAGTATATTCATGTTCAGAACTTTGAACTTCAATTCCATTTTTGTGCGTGGATCGAAAACACCAAGTCTCTCCTTCAACCGTAATAATAGCCCCGATAGTGTGATACTGTTCGGCACTAAAATGGAATTGGTTCTGTCCCCAGTCCACTTCCATTCGTCGTTCACGTAAACAAACTTTCCCTCGTGCGGCATGATTCATCTCAAATTATTGTTCATACTTGAAATGTTGGGATTGCAACGATAAGAATTATGCGCAATCAAAATGTCGATTATATAATAGCATGGAAGTGACACGTTCCAATATTTAAACCTATGCAATACTACAAGGTCAAATGAAGGGTGTCAAGAATTTTCAACTGTCCAATTCGACAGTTTAGTTATCTATCCCGACAGTTTATAAATGTCGGATACGACAGTTCAAATGTCGATCCCGACAGTTGCGTGTTTGGTAGCATTAATACTTATAATCATTTCTCAACTACAACAACTACAACATCACAACCTATTTCCAGAAATAAATGACTAAATGTTTCGTTAAATATGGAATACTTCACATTTTTCAAAATATTTTTGGTATGTTTTTTCTTCAAAAATATTAAAAAAAACAAGACCATCATGTTGTTTTTAACATTCTAAAAAAAAGTAAGATATTATACAGAAATATAAACAATTCGTAATAATTGACCTTTCAAGATAGATGAAATAATGTCTTTTTGAGGAAGAAGAAAATGGATGAAGAAGATGAATGAAATAAGGGTTTGTTTGACAATAAATTTATTTTTTAATGTTAATTAGGGTTTTGAAGGATTTTATATTTATTTTTTATTAACTAAATTCGTATTTTACAATATAATAGTCATATTTTCAATGATTATGATATACAAATTAAACAATCAAATCACAACATTACTTGTTTTAAAAAACAATCTTGAAGGAGCATTAAATGCTCCAAAAAAAGGTCAAATTAAGGGTAATTTAGACATTTGACAATAAGAAAGTGACATTTTTGTACAAACTGTGTGCACATCAAAGTTTTTTGTACATTTTCAAAAAAAGTGACATTTTGGTAAATTCCCCTTATTATTATTATTATTATTATTATTATTATTATTATTATTATTATTATTATTATTATTATTTAATCAGAATTGCACGCGCTTTTATTGAAAAAATTTATTGCTTTTATTTAAGGCATTTTTATTGGAAAAATACTTCTTCATGATTTTGATATTGTTTCCATCTGTGTGCTATTTATAAGGTTTGACATACATTCCTATATTTTCACAAGTTTTTTATTATTAAAATATAAAATAATTGTGTAGGCATAATTATTATATTTGTTATCACCATATTAGTCAATTGAATAAAATACTTCGTTCTTCTTTCAATTAATTTTTTTTTGCCTATCTTGTTATTTGTTTGCGATTATATACTTTATATCATGTCATATATTACCTTGATCCGTATTATTTTTCATCAAGTAGTATTTGAGCTATTGATCGTGATTTGTTCGCAATTTATGTCATTGATAGTAGCCATAAAGTATGAAATTTCGCTCTACAAGATTCTTGTTATGACAAGTGAAAATGTGAGTAGGAAATTTTGAAGGAGACAACGATAGCTGCGTTGTGGTTGAAGTTGGAGCAATTGTGCTTGATTAAAAGTCTAACAAACAAATTGCATTTGAATCAAAGATTGCATTCTCTCGCATGGCAAAAGACAGATCTTTAGAAGATTGTCTAGTTGTGTTCAAAGAGATCATCCCTGATTTGGAGACTTCAAAGGTTAAGTATAATGACGAAAATTTGGCCTTAATCATTTTGTGTTCGCTGCCCACCGTGTTTACTTCGTTTAGAAAAATGATTTTGTACAGTCATGATACATTCATCATTGAGATGCGTATGATGCTTTGTTTTCAAAAGAGAGGATGAAGTGCCTGGTTAGATCTAAGGTCAGAGATAAAAATACCTTATTTTTCATGGTGATCGGAGAGGGGCAAGTCGAAGTCAAATTTTAGTAGTCAAGTTTATTATTATTGCAAGAAAAAATGATATATTAAGAGAGATTGAAACAATTGCAAAACAAAGGTAATTTGACCGCAAATCATCGGAAGCAATCAAATAATACAGTCAATGACAATATAGTTGAGAACTATTTAAGCGATAGAGATATTTTGAAGATTTCTGACATGGAATTCAAGTCTGACGATGAGTGAATTTTTTATATAGCTCGTGCGTTCCATATGTGTCCCAGTTGAAATTTGTTTGAAACACGTGAAGCAGTAATGCAATGTGTCGTTGTTATGGATAACAACGAACTTTAACGAGTAGCTGGTGTTGGTAGAGTAGGATTAAGGTTTCTTTTCGAGCAGTTGGTATTGGTAGTGTCAGATTGAAATTAATGGATGGAATATGAGAACAATTGATCACGTTCGACGCATTCTAGACTTAAAGAAGAATCTTATTTTGTTGAGTACTCTCAATTCAAACTAGTATACATTCTCTAGAGGAGATGGAGTCTTGATGGATCGAAAGGGTGTTCGTGTTGTATTGGAGGGCTTAAGAGATTCTAGTTATACATCTTGCAAGATCGGTCAAATTTTGTGAACAAAAATCAACAGAGGTTTATTATCGTGGTGGAGATTCAATTTGATATTGTATCTTTGGAATTTGGTTCACGGTACATATTGATGAATACTACTCAGTCAAGTTTTGAAAATATGGATAATTTCACTTTACCAACATTACCTGCAATTCTATCATATTCAAATGCTAGAGATAGACCCCTTGAAGATAGGTACATGGATGCTGATTTGATTGGACATGCTTTTAGTGTTTTTGAAGGTGTTGAAACTATCTAGGGGTGTATATGAAAGTATTAGGAGTTGATTCTATTATAGGGTGTGCTTTGACACTGTTTAGTAATTTCTAGTTCTTTGTGAATTTCGAGGAACCCGATGTCTGGGTTCATGTATCTGCGTTGGATATATTGGAAGATGAGGAGTATTTTTGTGTTGAAAAAAGTTTAGTTCTTGTTGAAAAGTTCGAATTTTTTGTTGCAGTCGAATTTATTTTTTCAGGTGGATAAATTTTAGAGTTTCATTTGTTGCATAATAATATGTAGCAAATGGATTGTTAGGTTTATGACCCAAATTTGATTGATTTTAAAAAAAAAATATTGTTTCCTTTATTCCACGTGTTTTTGTTGGAAAAAAAAATATTATTTCTTGTATTCAACGCGTTTTTATTGGAAAAACATTTTTTTACTGATTTATTTTATCTTATTTCCATCTTTGCAGTATTTCTAGGATTTTGTATGTACCTCTATAAATACTACTTTTTTAACAAGTTTATTGAAATATAAATAATTGTGTAGGCATTGTATTTATTTTTTTCCATATTAGTCAATTAAATAAAATATTTCATTTTTCTGACAATTAATTCTGTCTTTTATCATGTTGTTTGTTTGCGATCACAAATTTCATATTGTGTCGTAGCTATTACCTTGATCTGTTTTATTTTCCGACAATTTCTCCACCTCCACCTCCATCATCGGGTTCGGTGGGCGAAATAATTCGACAACGAGAGACACCAGAGCAATAACCAATTCATTTGGGGTGGGTTGTTTCCATTTCGAGCGTGTTTGGTTCGATTTAAAATATTTATGTATTAGTAAACTAGTGAGTTTTAATAAAGATTATTCTTTTATCAATTAAATAAACACCGAAAATATTATTTGCATTCACGGGGTTTAATTAAAAACTGGAAAAAAAAGTTATATACCATATTACAGTAAACAAGAAACAATGCTGTCGAAATCTTGTAGAAAAATAATCATATTTGCTATTCAAGTCTTGTACAATAATTTATAAGGATTCGAGACAGTCAACAAATTCAATTCAATGTTTCGACTTAAGATGAAATAACAAATTCATAATACTTGACAATTTTTTAGTGTACCAATTGCTTTCAAATTCTAAAATGAATAACTTCAACTTTAACAAGAAACACAAAAGACAACGAAATCCCAAAAGAAGCCAAATTCGTCGATGTTACCAGAAGCCGGCAATGTTTAAAAAATTGAAAATTTTTGCTTCTTTTCATTGTTCTGCTACCACGAATTCTCCAGCGAAATATAAAATCCAACGAAGTATTAAATTAGTCCCATAATGAAAAGTGCTAATTATATGGCTCTATAAAGCAGCAAACCTAAAATTAGCAGCCATTCCTTAGTTCTCCATTGTTAGCTTCTTTTCTTTCCTACTGCAATGAACAACTTTGATACGTGTTGTTATATTTGGCCAACCTACGGGAGCCTATGGCCCACTCAATCTTAGCCACGTGGCACTCCAATCGAAGTGGGCTGTATGGCCAAGGTCCTGTATGGCCGAGGCCCTGTATGCCGAGGCCCATACACCGAGGCCTTGAAAGTAGCCGAACTCCATATACCGAGGCTTGTGAAGATTGCCGAAACCCTGAAGCGGAAGTACTACATGAGCGGTAGAAACCTCCGAACCATGAAAGAACGTCTTCCATGATCACCTCTCCCAAGAGATCTTCTACATAAAGATCTTGTTTGAATGATTGATAGAACGTTTATCATGAGTGCATATGTCAAGTCTTATCACTAGCATGGGGGTTCTGCACAAACAATAAATGCTCAGCAAGCTAACAAGTCAAGAATGATGCCTAGGATTGGATATTTGAATTAAGGAGATGAGACCATGTGCCACCTCATCTAAGGGCTGTCATTTCACATGTAACACTATAAATACTTCCCTTGTATAACATTGAAGGATTAATGCAAGAATCAATACAAGAAACCACACTTTACTTTCTCTTTTATATTGCTTTACAACACAATACGAATTCATACATGTTTACATGCACATTCATGAGCACCGATTGGTAATTATTGTACAATCGGATTAAGAACATCTCGTCGGATTCCGAACGTTCTCGTCCCGCGTTGTTGAGCTACTCTCACGCCCCTGCTCCGTTCATCCTAGACCGTCCACGCTTCTTAGCGTGCAGGACCTTCGCTCACGTGTGCGCGGGGGGATCCGGCATCTGTTGGCAACATTTTTTGGGGTCAACAAACTTCATGAGTGTCGCACTCATTAGGGACACGGTGATACCTCAACTTGTTGAAAAGAATTTCAGATCGACTCGTCAAATAAATTTGCTAAAAGCCCATAGTACGATTTACTTGCTTGGCTTTCTTAAGAGTTCAAAGGTTACCAATATAAATTTCATTGCATATCCTACATCAACGCCAAAGCAATATTTGCGTACAACAATTTATATATGACTTATGTGTGACAAAAATTATGTGTATTGTATGACTATGAGTTTATTTCACACAACTTATTTGAAAATTATTTTTCATTGTAGTCATTTTTGTTTTACACATTCTTCCAATAAAATAATTTTGTATATGTACTTTAACTTTTCTTTACTTTTTAATCATATATTCTTTAGAAAATTATTTTTTACTTCAAATAATATCTCCCAAATAAATAATTAGTGCTTGTCGATGTAGATTTTTTTGCAAATTAGTTCATGTTTGATCCACATTATTTCCAAGATACAATTTTCTTTCACCACACATTTTTCAATAAAAAAATATTACATGCAAACAATTTTATTTTTTTTAACCCTAAATTCTCTATCAATCTATTATTCTAAAATACATTCTTTACCTTTAATGGGGATCAAACAAACTCTTATATATATTGTTTGAGCCCCGTTTTATATTAAAAATGCATTTTTAAGTAGCAGATTGATGTAGAATGTATGGTAAAAAATAGAAAATTTTTGAATTTGCATATAATATTATTTTATTAAAAAATGTGTGATTGAAAAAAATATAAAGAAAAATGTATTTTTAAAATAATGAAGATCAAACAAGGGCTTAATAAAAGTTGGTAACCCTCATGAAATTTGTGTTTAAAAGTAGATAAAAATTGTGGATGAAATTATGTGTAATTAAAAATGAAATTTTACCTACTTTTTAATAAAAAAGCACTTAATAAATGAAATCGAGACACGAAGTTAGAAATGATGGTAATAAAATACCTTATGAGTCAATTCATGTTTCGAAATAACAACTAAAAAATTGCCATTTGAGGGTTTTCCTCTGGGCACATGATATGAACTACATAGGTAAATGTGAAGTAATAAAGATTTATTTGCAGCTATGCAATAATTAATTTTTAAGAAATGAACTGTTTTTTTTTTAATCTCGTTTCTTAATTTTTTTTTTTTTTGGAATATGCGGTTAAAAATAAATAAAAATTATGAGTTTAAATAAAATAAGTTCAGAATGATTTTGTAAAAAATAATTTTTAAAAAATCAGTGTCAAATAACTCTATAATGATGAAGCTACTGTACATCTTTCAAAAAGTATCACGAAAAAAATTGGATAAAAAACGAAGCTATCTTGAAAAAACAAATATATAATTTATAAGATGTTTAACTATAAATAAATAAATTTACTCGGGTGACAATGACGATACGATCACCCAAACGATATTTTTCACGAGAAAGTGATTAGCAAGAAACCAAGATTTTTTATTGCATCTTGAAATCGCACCTGCTAGAAATTGATATTGGAATCGCAAAACTTCAATTAGATTAGGGGAAGTCAATAAGTGACAGTCAATCAACCCATCTCAAAGAAGAATACCCACGAAGAATCATAATCCCACTTCTCTACCTCTTCTTGGCCAGTTTGCTGTACATTCATAATTGGTTTTCCTTCGTACAGCAAACTTTGGAGTTCAATTTCCCTTTAGACAAGCTCCAATCGACAAAGCCCACTTTTCTCGATCCCCTTGGCTCACCACTTTTCTAGGAGAATCAAATCCAATTCTTATCCAAAAAATCAAGAAAAAGAATACATTCAAACATTTCCCTATCTAAAATGCATTGGTTATGGCCGTTTGGTTATCTTGTTCTTCTATTCTTTTACGTGCCTACCTGTAAATCTTCTTCAATTTCTGATCTTTTCAACAGTTGGTGCCAACAGTATGGCAAAACATACAATTCTGTTCAAGAAAAAGAGTACAGACTCAAGGTGTTTGAAGAAAACTATGCATACGTTTCCCATCACAATAGTTTGGGTAATTTTTCTTACTCACTCTCTCTTAATGCCTATGCTGATCTCACTCAGCATGAGTTCAAGGCCAAGTACTTGGGACTCTCACCTTCACCAGACGATTTAATAATCCGATTGAATCGCGGGTCAAGTCCAGTCGAAGGGTTGAATCTTGTTAGGGAATCTGATATTCCTTCATCACTGGATTGGAGGAAGAAAGGAGCTGTCACTGGAGTCAAAGATCAAGGAAGTTGTGGTATGCAGTATTTTCTATTCATTGATTTTTTGAGTAAATATTTATTTATCCTCCGTAGAGTATAATTAGAATTCTGCCATACAAAGACTAGTTTTTTCCAAGTTATTGAATCATTAACTTGTAATTCTGTCGATTATCAATATACTGATAGGTGATATTGTTAAACCCCCAACTACGCTCGGGATGAAGCCTAAAAACTCATTGAATTTACTATAAAACTTCATATCTGATATTCCTTGTTTGAGGCTAGTTGTTCATTTTCCTTTTCTCGGACATTCTTACTCCTGCATTTTCAAGTGAATGATCAAAATTCCATTTATGTTCCAGTAATGTGTTAAAGGACATCTAGATCCATTCGTATTCTGCTTCCAATCCTCTCAAAATTTTCAATGATAGTTCGAATCGTTCAAGGAATGTTGTTTGTAGTCGACCACTGATCTAGTTGAACTATTTTGGCATATCCTGTTCAGTAGCTTCCATCAATCATATATTGCACTGATCTCTATCATGACGAATTTATGTTGCTGCAAAATAGAGAGAAAAGAAAATAATATTTTCTGTCGTTTTTTCTTTTTTCAAGGTGCATGCTGGTCATTCTCTGCTACTGGGGCACTGGAAGGCATAAACAAGATAAAGACAGGATCACTCATCAGCCTGTCTGAGCAAGAGTTAATTGATTGTGACAAATCTTATAATGATGGTTGCGGAGGTGGGCTCATGGATTATGCATATGAATTCGTTATAAAAAATCACGGGATTGACACAGAGAAGGATTATCCCTATCAAGGCCGAGAAAAAACTTGCAACAAAAAGAAAGTATGTAACTCTTGTAGTAATCCCTCCTCACCAACACCCTCCCCAGAAGGGCCCAATTCTCTGAGCCTGCGAGTTGTTTTTTGAATTTATTAAGTAGATTGTTTTCTTGTCTTTGATTTGTGCTATAAAGCCAGATTGTGGAGTTTCCTATGCTGCTATGGATATTTGCTGCTTTACTATGTTGGATTATATAAAAGAACGTAGCAGAGAGAGACGTTTCTGTGAGAGAGAGAAGATAAAAGAGTCGTGAGTCGTGAGTTCTCTGTTTTATACTTTTCGGTTTTAGTGAAAACCTTGAGTATAAAGTGGTGGTAGTTCCCCCATTGAGAGTGAAGCACCATAAATCTAAGTGTTAGCTTTGCATGTGATTTCAGCTTGATTTTCTACTGCTTTTGAGATTGAGATTGGGTCTTCATCATTAACATGCTCGCCTATCGATCTACCTTGCAGCTCAAAAGACGTGTTGTGACCATCGATAGTTATGTTGACATCCCTGACAAAGATGAGAAACGGCTACTACAAGCTGTAGCAACTCAGCCCATTAGCGTTGGTATATGTGGGAGCGACAGATCGTTTCAGCTGTACTCCACGGTAAGTGCTGATCAAAGCTTGCACCATAATTGTGTATTTCTAAGAGGCAAATAAAATCTATCCATGATTGAATGCAGGGCATATTCACGGGGCCATGCTCGACTTCTTTGGATCATGCAGTACTGATTGTGGGTTACGATTCAAAAGACGGAAAGGATTATTGGATTGTGAAGAATTCTTGGGGAAAATCCTGGGGAATGGACGGGTATATGCATATGCTACGAAATAATGGCAATCCAGAAGGCGTTTGTGGGGTTAACACGCTAGCTTCGTACCCTGTCAAGACGAGCCCAAATCCTCCACCCTCTCCTTCCCCTACGCCTACCAGATGTAACCTTTTCACTTACTGCTCCAGTGGTGAAACCTGCTGCTGCGCTCGACGCATTCTAGGATTATGCTTGAAATGGAAATGTTGTGGGGCAGAATCTGCAGTGTGTTGTAAGGACCGGATTCACTGTTGCCCACACGATTATCCAATATGCGACACAAAAAGGAATCTGTGCCTCAAGGTTTGGTTCAACTCTTTTTGTTTATTATCTCGTGTCCACAGGATTCTCGTGGAGAAGTAATTCTAGTGGGCTAATTTCATAGAAGTTGCATTTTTGCATCTTGCTTTACCATATTTGACATTTTAATTCATTATGATTGCAGCAAATTGGCAATGCCACAATAGCAAAGCAATTTGGGAAGAACCGTTCTACGAGTTAGATGATCAGATTTCTCCTTTTGATGATTGAGTTAGACGAAGTTATTTGTGCTGCAGTCATATTTTACAGCAGCATATCCTGATTATTGTAGTATTTTAGCATACTGCCATTGTATTAGAGTAATCAGTGCGATCTTACATTATTCTTGTGTATTTGAATAAATCAGTTTGAAATTTGAATATTTTGGTTCTAAAGATAGAATAAACTTGGACCAGGCATTGTAGTTTTGCTCGTAAAATTTAAGTATTTTCTCATCATTGGTGAAATTGTTGATTATACTTTACAAGTTACATCAATCATTCTACAGCAGTGTCTCCAGACACGACAGGTAATGTAACCAAAAAACTCTTCCCTGCAGCCAGGGAGAGTTAAGAGCAAACCAAAACCTTGTTGAGAAAAACTGGTGCCCAAAATAAATCAACTATGAAATTTTACAGCACAGTTCAAAGATTGGTAAGTTAAGAAGATGGTCATTTTACAGGTGCTTGTTACCCACATTTAGAGCATTTTTCTGCAGTTCATAAGTTTGTTAACCATCTTTAGAGCCTTTTACTGCAGTTAACCAAAGACTGGGTATATAACTACTGAATGCAAACCATTTTTTAAGATGAGTAATAATGGATTCTCTAGGTTCAAAAACAAACCTCTCGTTCACATATCCATGTGATTTATATGTAAGAACACAGAATTCTTATCTTCAGATTCATTAGGCGAACAATCAGCTATTCATAAAAGGTGTAACAGAAACCAATTCAAGTGAATAAGAATAAAAGAAATGAATCTATAAAAGTTTAATAGTAATTGAGGAACCCCAACACAAGCAAAGTGTTTGATTGGCAATGAAAGGTAGCAACAGGTTTCAGAGCCTCATATTCATGCAATCGTTAAATACCTTAGTTGAAGGATACAGCGGTATAGATAGAAATCATGTTAGGTCACCTAACCAACCTTCAATTAGGCGAAAATATAATCCCCAACATACGTTTTCAAATTTGAGCTGAAGGGATATCTCTGATCTTGTTGAAGTAAAAGAAGAAGCTAAAGCATCAGCATGTAAATAGCTGCATTACAAATAATAGCTAACTTCAGCGAATGGAAAATGAACTCCGCAATGGTTATTGTAGCTCGACCAAGTAACGTAGAAATGCGTTACTTTAACTTGTCCAAATAACAAATTAACCCACAATTTCCGCTACCAAGGCAACACTTTTTTTAATCTCCATGCAAATAAAATAGAGAAACCTCCAAAATGAAGAACTCCATAATTTCCAAGAAAGAGCTGCCCAAATCATGGCCATCATATTGTAGAAGCTCATATGCCAAACAAGTGTTTTAAATAAACCCATGGTTTCGATTGTATTGCAAAGCATTATCCTATGGTAACTAACAGGAGGATTGATTGTATAACTTGATGTTCCTAAATGCAGAAGATATTCTTCTTTCATAAATTCAAATTCAAATCCATATCCATCTCCCATTTTAATTCTTCTACTGTTCTACAAGATATGAATATCAAAGAACTGAAAAAGGAAACTACATTTAACGTGCTTCATGCTTCTGGTCTCTGCATTCTCCAGTTAAGAACCTGGTTGAGTCGAAATGTATGCATATACAACACCGTAACTACAAATTTCAAAAGTCTGAACAAGAAAGAAAAACACATAATGTCAGTCAGTCCACACCTCCATTCTATCAGATTATATGTGCAAGTCAATATAGCAACACAGATACATATAAATATAACAAAAAACAGAAACCATCCATATGCAAAACTGCAATTCTTTTTCTAAAGATCCCAACTTCACAATATGCCAAATCATATCCCCGATTAAATAATTAAATCCCTTCCTGCTCATCGCAGCTTCAATAAATAGATAACATGATTCCCAAATAATGCAAAATCATCAGTAAATAAGGTCGAATTAATCTATCAGGCATCAAAATTTACACAAATTGATGAAAACCATTAACTCGTAGCATAAATATCACAAGTTACACAGTTCCTTAATCAAATAATAATACCTATCATTTCATCCCCACATCCATCATCTTACGATGAAGGAAATACGTCCTTAACAGCAGAGGCAGCTGTCAAGTAATTTAGCGTATTTCTCAGTGTCTCCTTCTCCCTCTTCAACCTCGTCGTAGTATCCTCCAACTCCAGCAATGCCTGCTGCTCTCTGGGTGCTCCCTCGAAAGTACTCCCCACAAAGAACGAAAATGGAGTAGGGAAAAGATTCCTCCGCAAATCCTGAACCTCCTTTTCAGGCTTCCCATTCAACCTATTGGATAATCTAATCACATCCTTCATGTACATTTCCGCCTCATTCGCCAAGGAATCTAAGTCCTCCACTTCGCCATTCCCCGAGGGGCGGTCCTCAAGCCAAACCACCTCCGCCACTAAATAAGGCTTGGTTCGCACAAATTTGGAAACACGGAAACGCTCCTGCCCTTTACATATTAAAAAGAATCTATCATCCACAAGGCGCTCGTGCTTAATAACCTCCCCCACGCAGCCCACTTCCGCCGTGCCAGTAGTAGAGTCAGTGTAGATTACTCCGAACCGGAGATCAGTCTGGAGAAGGGTGTGCATCATTATGCGGTACCGGAACTCGAAAATCTGTAAAGGGAGTATAGCCCCCGGAAAAAGAACAAGTGGCAGGGGAAACAGCGGCAACTCCACGACATCATCGGATTTCGGGGAGTTGGTGTGGTGTTTTTCGGAAAATGAGGAAGCTGAGCAGCGAAGTGAGTTGGGTTTCCGCCGTTGACGGCGGCGATGAGAGAATGACTGAGTAGTAGTAAAAAATGTATCTGGGCTTTGGTTTAAGTGGTAATTATACGGATTTAAGAGAGATTTATGGGAAATTCTCGAAGAAGAAGAAGGCAATAGTTGAGGCAAAGCCATTTTCCTAATTTCCGTAGAAGCAAACAGTGAATAAACACCAAAGATAGAGCTTTTAGAAAGGGACAATGGAAACTGAAGAAACTGGTAAATTAATAACCAGAAGAATTATTCATTGGCACGTGGTACTGGAAATTTGTGGCGATAGTGAGGAACTGAGAGTGGAAAAGTCCTAATCTGCATTACTACATTCGATAATTAATGTAATTTTCTGGACTGTGGGTTTGTGATGTATGGTGTGGATAATGGCGAATAATAGGGCTGAAAGGAGTTGAGATTTTTGTGTTTTGGGGACGATAGGTATACACGTGGAAATGTGTTTATCTATTCTTTGGGGGTTTGTTTGGAAATAAATTAGATTCATTTACAGTAATTTGAGTTATTCAAATTATTATTATTATTTTTTAATTTCAAACTTACTTTATTTTTTATTTGAGTTTCCTCGTTCTTCATTGGACCCAAGTAAATGAAGTAGTTCGAATCTATGAGTTGAGTCTTATTCGATATTGGATACAGGTTTACTCGGGTTCTTCAAACTGTATATTCCTAATTGAAATCTATTAATAATTTCTAACCCCAAAGAAATGTGCAACTACTCATTATTTAAAAAATCAAAAGAAAACGAAAAATGCATTCTTAGCCAAAAATAGGATTCAAACAAGCTTTAATGTTTTATAAATGATTGGGCAAGACTTAGTTACAACAGGTTGTGTAGGATTGGATTGGATCGAGAGAGAAAAATATGTAACAAATTTTTTGTAGTTATTTAACAAATTGTGTGTCGAATGATGCAAAAATGTTTAGTACAATATATTTCATTTATATGTGTACTACATGTTGCTTCTATATAACGTACACTTACGTATTTTTTTGCATATTCTATTGTTAATTCTATAACCCTATATCAATGGACATAACTTTTAAGTCCATTCACACGTTAAATTCCTACTTAGAAAGTGATGAAGAGAAGTTGGCCATTAAGTAAAGTATGCCTTTGGAATCGGACAAACAAAAACTATTTGCTCATTTGAGTTTTAAGTCTTTTAGTATGTGACGATACTTGTCCTCAAATAATAAGAAAAATTGCATCTGGCATTCCAAATGTTTGAAGGTTGTGATGATTGGATCTCAAGTCTTTGATTTCTAGCAATTAGTTCTAAAATTTCAAACATCTGCACCACAGGTTCTTTTTGAATGTCAAATTGACTGTTAAAAAAGTCATGTTTTGAATAAAATGACCATTTTATCCAAAGAAGAAAATAAAAAATAATATAATATTCTTATTATATTCTTATTCTCCCCTATGCATCCCCACCCAACTCATTCCAACATCATCTTTTTCCAACTCTATCGTCAATTGATTTTTTATTTTTTTTTCTATTCATGGATACTTATCTAAAATCAAATTAGGCGAAGACTTTAAATTTCCTAGTACATCCAATGGCAAGAACTCAGTGGGTTGTGAATAAATAATAAGTTAAAGCTCTGTTGCACCTTGTACGTTGTTGGTTCTAGTTGGTTTTGGATTCTCATTTTTTGATATGACACTACTTGCAGTTCTATAATCCCAATCTCCTAGAAAAATTTAACAATAAAAATATAGAATTTATTGATTTTAGGTGAATACTTTTAGTTCAAGAATTTTGTAACTAATAAAATGATTCGAGGTAAATACTTTGTTTATCGAGTCAGAGAAACAGTATGAAGTTTTCTAATTGCAATACATGGTAATTATCACACTAAATTCTCCAATTGAATCAGATTCGTGAGATATTGTCCAATAAGACAAATTGAATTCTTACAATTCTCATTCATCTATATGCTTGCATATCCCTAAAAATTGGCGGAGGATATAATTTTCGAAAATCGTGTTTCGCATATAGCTTCAACTTTAGAGTTATGCTGGAGAACCAGGTAGGGGTTTCAGGGTTCTCTATCGAACAGACACATACATGGGTGGAGTGGGGATTTTTGGGGTCATTTTTTAATGAGGTGTGACTTACCTCATGTGAGGGATCTGTAAAAAATCTATAGGAAAGGTCCTGTACATCCATCAAAATTGTCAACTTTAAGGATCTACTTCTTTTTCATACTAGATGATGCACATCAATGCATTATTCTATGGTATGCATTATTCAATGGGATTGGGCCAGGGGGCAGTGTAGATGGAAGAAGATGATGGTTCGCACAACCTTGTTATGAAATCCCCAATTTGTCCTTTACGAGGTCTTGCTTCTTCTTCTTCTTCTTCTTCTTCTTCTTCTTCTTCTTCTTCTTCTTCTTCTTCTTCTTCTTCAACTTTTGTTATTATTTCCTTTTAGCGTGTTGCCGTTTGACAGTATTAAAGTATGGATTTACAGAGTTTAAACAATAATATGATGCCATGATCAAAATTGGGAAATATGAAAGGAAAAATATAATTATCATTTGAATTAGATAAATTTTTAATCTAGAATTTGCAGAAACTAGTGCTAGAGTTGAACACATTGACTGGCATCAACTAAAAAAACAACGTAAGACCGTCAAATTCATATTTCATGACAAAGAACACTAACAGAAAGAGTTTCACTTTCAAATCAAATTTAACGGGCAAACCTTTATAAATATTTTATGGACTCATATTTTATCACATAACTATTATGCTATTTAATTCGCCACAGTCTCTGTTTTATAACATTTAATCATACCTATTGAGTTTGTCTCTCGAAGACATAATTCACATTGAAATGAACATTAACCTCTCACAAGAATAGTATTAATTAAGACATGCATTAAAATAGGTTGATCTTTTATATGCGATCGAGTCTATCATGTTTAATATCAGCACGTTGCTATTAAGTATTATATACATGATTCTGTGCATTTATTGGAGAACATTTGTTATGATTAGCATAGTGTGGGTCGCGATTGATAGAAGATTTTCTCTGTGGACTAAACTCCTATGCTACAAAATTGGAAAATATTATTCTATGGATTGCCAGGATCATTAGTTCACAAATAATTAAGTGATGTATGATGGTACATCCAATATGACTATAATGTTGAATTTAGGAAAAAAAAAAGATAAAATAAAATAATTTTTCAAGATGATTGCATTTGAATAATATGATATTTATTAGTTGAACACGACTTTTTTTTTGTACCATTTACTTTGTAGGTATGTGCCCATAATTCTTAGTTAAATTTATTCTCTATTGACTCCTAAATATATAGTACTTTAGAATAAAATTGAGGCGTCATGGTTGCCTCCCTTGTAGATATTGCTTTAATTTTTATTTGTATTTTCCTAATAGATAGAGTAGAGTTCTAATACAAGTGAAAGTCATTTTTTTAAATTTGCTAAAGTCATTTTTTAAATTTGCTGTCTAGACCTCGTTTGGTAAATGCTACACAAGACTACTTTTTTATAACGTAACTATTAATTAAAGGACTCTAATACCCCCTTACATAACATGTTGCCTAAAATGATTGTCAAATGTTATAGCTATAGTATTTGAGGTGATGTTTAGCATCATACATTTTATGGCTTGTATGAGTCTCGATTCTATATTGTTCATAAGCCGATTGGCCATCTAAGCCATACCGTCTTGGAGTGTGTTAGCTGAGCTATTTGGAAATGTGCTGGGTAAGTTTTCCTTTTGTTTGGGTTTCCGGAACATTCACATAAAATCTTTTGCTACTTCCCATGTCCATGTTTCTCTGTCTCTGTCTCTGTCTCAGACACATTTATAAACTCCCACGTCACTTTGAACTATCCACTTCCAATTTTACCCCACTTCTCTTTCAAGTTTATTTGTAATTATCCATTTTTTCAACTCTTGTAGGTGTCCGTTAGAGTTTTGGAAAAGAGGTGGTGAGGTGGGCTTCGGATTTTTTCGTTAGCAGTTCGACAACGAATTGAAAAAAGAATAGCATTTTTGAAAATTTCATTTGCTGAATATGTGTTAAGTTCTCTGATGTTTCTAGGGTTTAATGATCATGTTGATTGTATTATTAGTTCTCATGAAGAATAATTGGATGGTTTTGGCACCTCGTTTTTTCTTTTAAATGAATTTTGAAGGAGTCTTACAACTGTCTACTTAAGTGCACCTTTCTCTCATGGACATCTGTATATTAGGGCCAATTTGATACAAGCATTTTCTATGGAAAATGGGAAACCAAATGTGTTGTTTGATAGAGAAAAATTTCAATGGAATTCATTTTCCACCCTACCCCTCACATGACCCAAATTCTTGGTTTTTAAGGAAAATGTTTTCCTCTGGTTTTCGTGAGAAAGTGTTTTTTTTTTTTTTTTTTAATTTTTACGATGGAAATAAATTCTATCTCTTTAATTGACAATTTTCTTGAAAAATAAAGTCAAACAAATATCAAAAAATTCAAAATTTCAACATTTTTTAAACGAAAAAGTATACCAATCAAAGACATTTAATTGACAATTTTCAGTAAAACAATTTATAGGCAATTTAATTCACTGAATTTCGTTTTCTTTCCATCCAAATTTCATTCTTACAATCAAATGGACCCTTAATGATTTTTAAATGCGTGGAAAGAGGAAACTATTTTGGCAATGGCATTTGGTCTTTTATGGTAAATTATGCTCTAAGGCAAATTGGTCTTATGCAAGTAAGTTTAACATATGCTTGTTGTGAAGCTTTTGTGTTTATTGTAATCTAAATGTATAAGAAACATGATTGGAGGTGTATGTAAGTTCGACTATGTGTGAGTTGTTATTACTTATCTGATAATTATCTCAAATATGATTTTATATCACTTGATTTCTTTTCAAGATCCAGTTCTTCAATAGAGAGTTGATTTTATGCCTTTGTTCATCCCATAATTTTAATACTTAGTATTTAATTAAATAGGACCAAGAGAAGAAAGTAAAGAAAATTGTGAAGCAGATGTGGATCCTCTTTCTCTTTATTGTTTCCGAACTCTTGCTGATCGGGTTTAATATGCCAGATTCTGAGGTATTTTTCAAGATATTATGTAATTCGTCATTTTCCACTTCAATTGCTTATGATGTGTTATAACTTATGGTCTAAACTTTCTACATGGAAAAATAGATGCTTTATTAACACATAGTTCACGTCCCCTTGCTAAATATTGTTTTGTTGATGTTGATGAAAAGGCTTCTACTGATCTTTAACACTTCAACTAACCTTTAACTATCAAATTGTAGTACAAAGCTGGAAATGGAGATAATATATATGTTCGAAATGTAAGGTTGAACTTTACTGACAATATTCGCCTTGTGTTGATTTGACTTT